CTCCTGGCTCAAGTGATTCTCTTGCCTCAGCCTCCCAAATAGTTGGGGCTACAGGCGCATGCCACCACCCCTGGCTAATTTTTCTATTTTTAATAGAGATGAGGTCTCACTCTTACTTAAGCTGGTCTCAAACTCCTGAGCTCAAAGCCATCCTCCCACCTCAGCCTCCCAGAGTGTTGGGATTACGGGCATGAGCCACTGAGCCCGGCCAGGAACAGATATGTCTAAGAAAAGTTTAAATAGACACTGGATGGAGCCCAGAGTCTTGTCATGCATTCCGCTGCACAGGGAAGAGGCTGGGCGGACTCGTTGTAAATGTTTTACATAGGTCTTTACTGAAGAAAGTAGCACAGGTCTTTAAATGAGAAAAGTCAAGCTAGGGCACAGGAGAGTAAAAACAACCTGTATTTTCCATAGTCGGTCAGGGAAAAAAAAAGTATTCAGGAGAAGCAGGCTGATGAGTTGGTAAAAGGCGAGTGATAAAGAAGTTTCTATATAGGTTAGAGTCCAGAAGAAAGTTACTAACTTCAGGAATTCTCAGAAAATGTACTGAAAGCTGGGTGTAAACATTTGCCATGATTTATCTAGCTCAGGGCTCACCCAGGTGACAGAGGTGGAGGCAGATGCTGAGATCTGGTCCCTCACGTGCTCAGGGGCCAGATTTGGGGCCCATACGGCGGCTAAGGAGGCAGAGTTCAATGTGGCTCCCAGAGACATTTTTCAGCCATGTTTTCCCAAAGCGACTCCCATTCCTCATTCTTTATCTCTCTGCCTTGTGAGGCTGGCCATTTTCTGCCTTGGAACAGGGCTTCAGAGCTAAGTTTAGCATCCCCTCTCCTGAAGGCCCAAGGATTCTTTCTCAGTTTCATTTTGTATGCCTTGTCATGCAGGGCATGGTGCAAATATTGGGTTGAATGAATAAATGAATTGCAAGATCTGGTGTTGGAAAAGACTTTGAATCTTAGGTCTAGTCCAGAGGCTCCCAAACTTGGCAGTTTGGAATAGGCTTCTAAGCATGACTGTATCTCCTCCCACTCTGTGCCTTCATTCTCTTAATAGTGTGTTTTGATGAATGTAAGTTCTGAATTTTAATGTAGTCCAATTTATCAATCTTTTCCTTTACGGTTATTGTTACTCTACCAGCAGTCAGAATTCTTATATTGTAGTAGTTAGCTATTTTTCATTAACCCGCGCCATATCAACTTCATAGTTCTGCATTCTGTGTTTTACACTCGTTATGCACATTTATGAGCGCTGCATCTTATGATCCATCTGCCCAAATGTCTCTGATGAAGCTTTTAAAATATTCAGACATTTGCTGATACTAGAGCAGCCAGAGAGAAGATTTTCTTCTCATCTTCTTCCCTGCTTGCTGTTTGATTTTTAGATTCTTTCAAGTACCCAACTTTGCACAATCTAGTCATGAAAGTGTACCACCTGAGTTACCTGCAAACTGCGAGACTCGACGTGGCCAGTAAGGGCTGGGCTTACGGGAGCAGACTGGACATGGCCTTCTTCCATGCACCGATGTGGTCAGACAGCTTGGATTTGAACCCCTGCTCAGCCACGGACTAGTTCTCAGACCCTGACAAGTCTCTCCATTTGAAAAATGTGTATAATTATGGTGCACCCTGAAAAGATTGCCACAATAGTAGGTGAAATATGGACGTAGGCACTGGTGCTCAGTTAGTGGTTGATGTTATTTTATTAACAATCCATGAGATAAAAGAAACAGAAAGAGTTGGACTCAATGGAAGCCAGCCAGTTACTTCACTCTCTGAGCCTCAATTTCTTCATCTATAAAATGGGAATAATTACCCTGTCTATTTCTGGTTATTATGAGGGTTAATGAAATAAATCTAGAGACTTTACAGAATTGTATTCTCTACCTAAGTGAGCTGCAGCTTTGTGCCTTAACCTTAGACTAGTGTTTTATATTTCTTCAGATACTGGCGTGGTCTGGGAGCAAGAGTCTTTGAAGAACTTACGGACATCGAGAGACAGTTCCACAAAGCCCTGTACACACAGTCCGGCCTTCCTCAACGTGACAGATATTCTGTGGGTCTCTTAGACATGACCAGAGCAGAAGGTGAGAACTCAGAAACAGATTTTTTTTTTTTTTTTGAAAAAGTCTCACTCTGTTTGCCTGGGCCAGAGTGCCGTGTGCATCAGCCTAGCTCACACCCCAACTCCTGGCTCAAGTGATCTCTTGCCTCAGCCTCCCAAAAGTTGGCTACAGGTGCATGCCACCCCTGGCTAATTTTTCTATTTTTAATGGAGATGAGGTCTCACTCTTACTTAAGCTGGTCTCAAACTCCTGAGCTCAAAGCCATCCTCCCACCTCAGCCTCCCAGGAGTGTTGGATTACGGGCATGAGCCACTGAGCCCGGCGAGAACAGGTATGTCTAAAAAGTTTAAATAGACCACTGATGGACCAGAGTTTGTCATGCATTCCGCTGCACAGGGAAGAGCTGGCGATCGTGTAAAGGTTTACATAGGTCTTTATGAAGAAGAAAGTAGCACAGGGTCTTTAAATGAGAAAAGTCAAGCTAGGCACATGAGAGTAAAAAAACCTGTATTTTCCATAGTCGGTCAGGGAAAAAAAAAAAAGTATTCAGGCGAGCAGATGGTGTGAGTGAAAAGAGAGTGATTAAGATTTCTGCCGGCGCTGTGCTCACGCCTGTAATCCTAGCTCTTGGGAGCCGAGGCGGGCTGGATGCTCAAGGTCAGGAGTTCCAAAACCAGCCTGAGCAAGAGCGAGACCCGTCTTCTACTATAAACAGAAAGAATAAGGCGCCAACTGATATATTATATAAAAATTAGGCCGGCGCATGGTGGCGCATGCCTGTAGTCCCAGCTACTCGGGAGCTGAGGCAGGAGATCGCTTGAGCCAGAGTTTGAGGTTCTGTGAGCTAGGTACGCCACGGCACTCGACTAGCCTGGACACAAATGAGATGTGCGTCAAAAAAAAAAAAAAAAAAAAAAAATTGCCTAGCATGTAGAAGAGTGCCTAGCATGTAGAAGAGTGCCTAGCATGTAGAAGAGTGCCTAGCATGTAGAAGGCACTCTGTTATTGCTCCCTGAACGAATGAATGGCTCTGGGCTTTCCCTAGCTGGGCCTCTGATTTCCGGATTTTAATATAAATGGTTTGAGCTGAAAGGCTTCTAAGTCCCCTTCTGCCTCTAATAATCTGAGGTTCTGTAACATGGTTGCTTAGAATACTTTATATGCTGAAAATATAGGAAAGACAGTGATTGTGTAGGTGCCAGTCAATTGGTAACTGGAGTGCTCACGAGGGAAGTTCCAGGGCTGAGAACTCAGTGGGAAAGAGCATTCAGGAAGGTTTAGTAGTATCTGCCTCTGATGCAAGTGACACCCCAGTATTTTCTTTCCCTGATAGGAGTGCACATTGCAAAACTGAACTGACTTCATGAAATGAATCTAAGTATGCCCCACCCAGACTTGTGCTCAGGAACTCATCTGTATCCTCAGAGAATGACACAGAAAACTCTTCTTGGCTAATGCCTCTTTAGAGATTTTGCTTAATCCTGAAGTGCTAATTCCAGTAGAGCACTGCAGGCCTCTCTTAATTACTTTACCCTTCACCTGGTTTGAAATAGCTTTGCTGATAATTATGGCATTGCCTATTTATTTAATCCCACTCCAAAGATGCAGAGCATCACACTCGGAATTTCTGGTTGTGGAAAGATTCTACAAACTGAGTTTTAGAAAAGCTCTGTGAATTGACTCTGTGAAATACATTTCCACTCTCAGAACAGCATGGACTATGCATGCATGTTTGGGCTGGCCTATGTCCCAAGCAATGCTGACAGTCCAAAAAACTCACAGTGCCACCAGGAAACAGAAAGGTAGATTCTTTTGAATTTAAGACTACAATTCATTTTTCTAAAAAAAAAAAAAAAAGACTACAATTCAGGCTCTGTTTCCTCATTCGGACCACATGGACTGCAGTACAAATGGCTTTGGGGAAGAGTGTGGGGTGTGTGCTCCTCTATGTTCCCAGAGCTTTCAGCCATGCCCTCATGGCCTGTGTTACTATTATTGATTTATCTGTGAGCTGGCCTGAGTCTTAGTAACCTGTATGCCCAGTGCTCAGCATAAGTGGGGCTTCACAGCCCCATGGGCCACACAGCTTTTATGGGACACACAGTGGGGCTTCCACTGAGATTCGTGGGATGAGGATATACAGTGTGTGGTGCTAGAACTGGATTATTTAAAAAGCTGAAAATAATGAATCCTTTTGTTCAATGACCTGGACCAAAGTCCCACCTTATTCAGGCTTCTCCGGAAAGGCAGCAGAGCTGAGAGCAGGTTCTTCTTTTTTTTATTTTTTAAAGAGATGGGGCTTTCTCTTGGTCAGGCTGGTCTTGAACTCCTGAGTTCAAGCAATCCTCCCACCTTGGCCTCCCAAAGTGCAGGGATTACAGGCATGAGCCACCATGCCCGGCCCAAGAGGGCAGGCTCTGAAGTCACACACACACAAGTAACATTAACTTTGAGTTACAGTCTCCCCCTTCTCTGGGTAGGCTACCAATGGTACCTACCTCAGAGGGTATTGGAAGGATTAAAGTGAGATGATGCAGGTAATGCCTGCTAGCAACCATCACTGTCGTACCCACTAAGGTCTCCCCCCCCCTCTCCGGCTCCCTCTTAGCTCTCACTTGGGTTTCTATTCCAGGCTTAATTGTCAGCACCTCAAGGAAGCCTTCTCTATCTCTCCTCCCCCAGGCAAAGTTAGCTCCTGCACTCCACCCCTGGGCCTCACGGTGCTTTGCACACATCTCTTCCATAGCCCTCAGCCGGCTGCATCTCAGGCCTCCTCCTTCTATTGGATTTTGGAAGCTTCCATGGCAGAAATCATCTGACTGCCCTGCCCCTGTGGGAATGTCTTTGTTCCCTTGTCAATAAGGGGCTTAGGGTTGTTGCATTGGCCTTGCTCTTTATTTGCCTACCCATGCTTGTCTGTGCCTTCCTTCAGGATGAGCATTTCTGTGACTTTGTGGACACCCTCACAGAGTACCAGACCAAGAACATCTTGGCCTCCCCCATAATGAATGGGAAGGACGTGGTGGCCATAATCATGGCTGTGAACAAGGTAGAAGGACCCCACTTCACCAACAAAGACGAAGAGGTAAGAATGCTTTGGAAACTAAAGCTAGCCACGCCAGCACACTCTCCCGGCTCAGGGAGTCCCCTGAACCTTGCTGTTTGGCCTAGCCTCAGTTTCTCTATCTGTGAGATAGGGAAGTCGTCTGATGCTCTCTGAGGGAAGCAGGACAAAATAATGGTTATGATGTTGGGCTTTGAAACCAGGAATGGAGGGATCATTGTTCTGGCTCTGCCAATAGCTAGCTGTTTGACTTAGGCAAGTTACTTAACTCCTCTGAATCTCAGTTTTCTTATTTGTAAAATGGGGCTGATTGTTCAGTCTCCACCTCACAGGGTACATGTGATGATCATATAACATTGACTTACCACAGTCAAATTCAAGAAGTAGTAGCTATTTTTCATTAACCCGTCCATATCAACTTCAATGTTCTGCATTCTGTGTGTTTTACACTCGTTATGCAACATTTTATGAGCCTGCATCTTATGATCCATCTGCCCAAATTGTCTCTGATGAAGCTTTTAAAATATTCAGACATTTGCTGATACTAGAAGCAGCCAGAGGAGAGATTTTTCCTTCTCATCTTCTTCCCTGCTTGCTGTTTGATTTTTAGATTCTTCTCAAGTACCTCAACTTTGCAAATCTAGTCATGAAAGTGTACCACCTGAGTTACCTGCACAACTGCGAGACTCGACGTGGCCAGGTAAGGGGCTGGGCTCACGGGAGCAGACTGGACATGGCCTTCTTCTCATGCACCGATGTGGTCAGACAGCTTGGATTTGAACCCCTGCTCAGCCACGGACTAGTTCTCAGACCCTGAGCAATTCTCTCCATTTGAAAAATGTGTATAATTATGGTGCCACCCTGAAAAGATTGCCACAATAGTAGGTGAAATAATGGACGTAGGGCACTGGTGCTCAGTTAGTGGTTGATGTTATTTTTATTAACAACCCATGAGATAAAAGAAACAGAAAGAGTTGGACTCAATGGAAGCCAGCCAGTTACTTCACCTCTCTGAGCCTCAATTTCTTCATCTATAAAATGGGAATAATTACCCTGTCTATTTCTCTGGGTTATTATGAGGGTTAAATGAAATAAACTCTAGAGAACTTTACAGAATTGTTATTCTCTACCTAAGTGAGCTGCAGCTTTGTGCCTTAAAACCTTAGACTATGTTTTTATATTTCTTCAGATACTGCTGTGGTCTGGGAGCAAAGTCTTTGAAGAACTTACGGACATCGAGAGACAGTTCCACAAAGCCCTGTACACAGTCCGGGCCTTCCTCAACTGTGACAGATATTCTGTGGGTCTCTTAGACATGACCAAGCAGAAGGTGAGAAAACTTCAAAAACAGATTTTTTTTTTTTTTTTTGAGACAAAGTCTCACTCTGTTGCCTGGGCCAGAGTGCCGTGGCATCAGCCTAGCTCACATCAACCCAAACTCCTGGGCTCAAGTGATTCTCTTGCCTCAGCCTCCCAAATAGTTGGGGCTACAGGTGCATGCCACCACCCCTGGCTAATTTTTCTATTTTTAATAGAGATGAGGTCTCACTCTTACTTAAGCTGGTCTAACTCCTGAGCTCAAAGCCATCCTCCACCTCAGCCTCCCAGAGTGTTGGATTACGGCATGAGCCACTGAGCCCGGCCAGGAACAGGTATGTCTGTAAAAAAGTTTAAATAGACACTGGATGGCCCAGAGTCTTGCATGCATTCCGCTGCACCAGGGAAGGCTGGGCGACTCTTGTAAATGTTTACAAGGTCTTTACTGAAGAAAGTAGCACAGGTCTTTAAATGAGAAAAGTCAAGCTAGGGCACAAGGAGAAAAACAACCTGTATTTTCATAGTCGGTCAGGGAAAAAAAAAAAGTATTCAGGAGAAGCAGGCTGAGAGTTGGTAAAAGCGGTGATAAAGAAGTTTCTGGCCGGGCGTGTGGCTCACGCCTGTAATCCTAGCTCTTGGGAGGCCGAGGCGGCTGGATTGCTCAAGGTCAGGAGTTCAAACCAGCCTGAGCAAGAGCGAGAACCCCGTCTCTCTATAAACAAAAATTAATTGCAACTGATATATATATAAAAAATTAGCCGGCCATGGTGGCGCATGCCTGTAGTCCCAGCTTACCCGGGAGGCTGGGGCAGGAGGATCGCTTGAGGGCGCCAGGTTTGAGTTGCTGTGAGCTAGGCTGACGCCACGGCACTCACTCTAGCCTGGACAACAAGTGAGACTGTCTCAAAAAAAAAAAAAAAAAAAAGAAGTTTCTATATAGGTTAGAGTCCAGAAGAAATTACTAACTTCAGGAATTCCAGAAATGTACTGAAAGCTGGGTGTGAAAATTGCCATGATTTATCTAGCTCAGGGCTCACCCAGGGACAGAGGTGGGAGGGATGCTGAGATCTGGTCCCTCACGTGCTCAGGGGCCAGATTGGGCCCATACGCGCGTAAGGCAGGAGTTCAATGTGGCTCCCAGAGACATTTTTCAGCCATGTTTTCCCAAAGTGACTCCCATTCCTCATTCTTTATCTCTGCCTGTGAGGCTGGCCATTTCTGCCTTGGAACAGGGCTTCAGAGCTAAGTTAGCATGCCCTTCCTGAAGGCCAAGGATTCTTTGTCAGTTTCATTTTGTATGCCTTGTCATGCAGGGCATGGTGCAAATATTGGGTTGAATGAATAAATGAATTGCAAGATCTGGTGTTGGAAAAGACTTTGAATCTTAGGTCTAGTCCAGAGGCTCCCAAACCGTTGCAGTTTGGAATAGGCTTCTAAGCATGACTGTATCTCCTCCCACTCTGTGCCTTCATTCTAATAGTGTGTTTTGATGAATGTAAGTTCTGAATTTTAATGTAGTCCAATTTATCAATCTTTTCCTTTACGGTTATTGATTTTGGGGCTCTATTTAAGAAATCTTTCCTGGCCCCAAGGTTATAAAGATATTTATGTATGTCACACTCTAAAAGCTTTATTGTTTTAACTTTTACATATAACTCTATAATCTATCTGGAATTTTTTTATGTATAGTGTGAGGTAAGGTCAATATTAATTTTTCCATATGGATATCCACTCGGCTGGGTACAGTGGCTCATGCCTGTAATCCCAGCACTTTGGGAGGCAGAGGCAGGAGGATTGCTTTTGGCCAGGAGTTCAAAGCCAGCCTGGGCAACATAGCAAGACCCCATCTCCACAAAAAAAAAGAAAAGAAAAAGAAAGAAAGAAACAAACAAAAAGCTCCATTCCCAGGTGTCCATTTTGCAGCAGGATTTGGTCCTAGGCTCAGGCCACTCTATGCTGTAGTGCTCTGCTTTCTGTTTCTTTTAAACTGCCTGCCTCTCAAAAAAGAAAATTAAGTTAAGTAAGAATATTCTAAGCCTGGGGCAGTGGTATGCTCCTGTAGTCCAAGCTACTCTGGAAGCTGAGGCAGGAGGATCACTTGAGCCCAGGAGTTCAAATCCAGCCCAGGAAACAGCAAGACTTGTTTAAAAAAAAAATAGATAGTATTCTGACTTAGTCATACTTAAATATGGAGCAATTATATGAATTAAATCACAGTTAAGCTGTTAAGAAAGAAAGAAAGGGCTGGGTGCAGTGGCTCACGTCTATAATCCTAGCACTTTGGGAGGCCAAGGTGGGAGGATTGCTTGAAGTCAGGATTTCAAGAGACTCTGTCTCAAAAAAAAAAAAAAAAAAAAAAGAAAGGAGGGAGGGAGGGGAAGAGGGAAAGACAGAGAAGTTGTAGATGTGTCCAGCTCTCTACCCAAGCCCTTGTTTGAGAACTTCTATTCTCCTTGGGACAATCTTCAGATCCACTCAGTGCTTGGCTACATGAGGTGTCATCAGCTCAAAATATTTGCTCTTCTTCTGGGCTCCTCTAGCAATTCCTTCCACTTCCTTCCACTACTTTTTTTTTTTTTTTTTCGTCTTGCCCCACAAACCTTGCTATAGTTACCTGAGTACTTGATTGTCTCCTTCATGGGACAGTAAGCTCTTCCAGGGCATGAGCTGTGCCTTACTCATCTCTGTATGTCTAGCAGCAGGTTGTGGGGCTCAGGTAGGGCCCAGTTATATTTTCGCCTAGAATTGAATTTCTTCCTGTTGACGGTAACCCAGGAAAAGAGTCCAACTGGGCAGAAGGGCAAGGACATGGCATCTACATTTCATGTGGACTCCTTCCTGCCTCTTCTCTGGATGATATTAGAATAACCAAACCACCAAGACAAACAGGTTCAAACAAGAGAAGAACAAGGGGAGGGGTTTGGCATCCTACCCACAATATCCCAGTGCTAACAGATCACTGTCCGTAAATAGTAACAGATGAATGAACAGAGAGGGCACTGGAGCATGGAGGGCTTCCATGCCAGGCCCGGCCTTGGCCCAACACGAGCCTTGCTGCTCCATGTGCAAAGAAAACCAGAGGAGATGAAGCAGAGAAGAGCCCATGTGTGTCCCTGTTGGCTTCCCCTGAAGCTGGAAGACTGTGTAGTTCCTTTTCTGGCTCTTTTTCTGTTCTCTCTGCCTGAATCTTGGCCATGTTAAAGAAAAACTTCAGACAAAATAAATTTAACAGAGTTCATTAGAGCAAAGAACGACTCATGAATCAGACAGCACTCAGGACCAGAAAGGTTTAAAAAGCTCCACTCCACAGCATAGATTCCTAAATTAGGTTTTGGTTTGTTTATGTACTAAGTCATGCTGCAGTTTGTTACGTAGGAACTCAAATTATTACGTAGGGACTCAAAGTACAGAGATAAGCCTCAGGCTAATGTTTCCTGCTTATCTTAGAACTGTCCATTTTTCTTTTTGGATCCCAGATATGGGGCTCTCTGTCCATATTTAGTATCATTGTATCTTTTTTCTTTCTTATTTGGGAATTTTTTTCTTATAAAAGCAGTAAAGTTTACTATGGGAAAATTTATAAATACTTTATATTCTCATTCCAATCACTTAGATAAAACCAGCTGTGAATGCTTTGTTGTGAATGCGTTCACAGCATTTTCTATATATAATTAAGCCACAGGGTCATGTGATATATTATTTTGGTCCCTCACATTTTTCACTCACCAGTATATCACAGACATCTTTTCAATCCATACACACACATCTGTAGCATGACTTTATTATATGTGCCATAATTGATTTAATAAGTCCCCTTTTATTGAACACTTAACTTATTTCTAATTTTTCATTATAACAAATGATACTTCAAGGGACATTATTTTAGCCAAACCTTTGTTCTCATGCTTACCATGTTCTTAAGGTAAATTTCTTAGCCATGGAGACCCTATCTTCCCTCTCATGTCCCACAACACTATAAGGGTGCCCCAGCTCCCCTCCCATGTTTTTGGCAAATGCCTAGATAGGCCCAGCTCATCAATATTTTGAAGGGTAGATGTGATTATCCTCTAAGTCTAGTGAGTCTTGTAGCCTTTTCAAACTTAGGTTTCACAGAGCTCTTCCCACCTTCCAAATTTTAGCAATAGATGACTCATACAGGTGAGACTTCTTTTCTTAATCTCCTTTTCTTAATCTACCTTCAAAACATGTAATTATTGTTTTTTTTCACTCCTAGGAATTTTTTGATGTGTGGCCAGTTCTGATGGGTGAGGCTCCACCATACTCTGGTCCCAGGACTCCGGATGGAAGGGTAGGTCTCTCTCGGGCCTTTATTAAATTATCAAATGTTTAATGAATTCAAATATAAGACGTGGTAGACCCTGCCAAAGGACATTTCTTTATCACATCGGTATTTATCTTCTCTGGGTTGGGTTGTCTCCCATGAAGTGAGAGTAATTCTTCAAAATTGCCAAGCCCTATTTTTTTACTAACCGTTATAGCAAAGTGTGAAGTTTCACAGTAACCTGGTGGGGTATTCAAAGCTGGAATCAACATCCTCATTTGCCTAGCAGGGATGCAGAATCACAGACACGATGAGCTGGAAAGAACTTTCATGTCTAGTCTATAACGTGCAAATTGGTAGCCAGAAGGCCAATTCTAGCTGATAGATAAATATGTTTGGCTGCATAGGTTTTTACATTTTTCTTTTTTGTTCGTACTTTAATATTTTTTGAACTAGTGGCTAACACTTAAAAATCAAGATATTTCCCATAAATAACTGAACTCCCAATTTCTTTTGAAAAACTGAATGATTAGTAAAAACTGGCCCCGCAATCCAGCACGGTAAATTTGGTTGGAGCTGAGAACAGCTGCTTCCTTGGAGCATGGCCTGAGCTCTCTAGTTTGCATTTGGGTTTCTGCCGTGTGGTCTCACCCAGTTGCCTCCCTTCAAAGATGCGGCATCATCACCTTTGAGATGCTGTAGTGGTACACCTGGAGGTGTGGACACCATGCAGGGTAACAGACCTGGAATTCAGAGGGCCTGCAGAAGCGCAGAAAGAGGGAGAGACCCTGGCTGAGGGCCCACAGAATAAGTCAGCAGCAGGGTCATGCCCTGAAGTGAGTTTTAATCCAATGCTCTTCCCATAAGACTTTGCAGTCTGTGTGAAATCGTATTCGGTTTCTCCTAGGAGGCCAGTTTCCACCCAGCCAACTTTAACTTTGCCCAAAATAAAGGGCCTGGAGTGGATGTGAATATAACACCTTTGCCTGCGAGCTTCATGTACACTCCAGAAGAGATGTCAACCTCGGAAGCTACTCTGTCTGCTGTGCTTTAATCCAAAATGACCTTTGTAACTTGCTGCCATCCAATTTCAAATTACTCTTTTGCCCACACAATTTCATGATTTCATTTCAGAAGACTGCACCTTTAAGGATTCTATCATGTGCTGCTGTCATAAACTCTATTGGGGGACACTTTTACTTTTTAAGCACTGCTTTCTCACATTGGCATAGTTGACATGTTGCCATTATGCTTTTTCTCCAGTTCACGTACAAGCTGAATTTGAGTCTTCTGGAAAGTTAGAAGTTGGAGAATTAGAATAGAGATCATCATAGTTTTCAGACACCACCAACATCAATTAACTCCAATTGTTTTGGAGTTGAGCTCTGAGCTGAGTCCTTAGGTCAGAGGTCAGAGGTCATTTTCAACTCCAGAACAGCTAGAGAAATGTCAGGCTCTAACTCTGGCTCTTCACCCTAAAGTGTCCCAAACTTCAAGACTGAAGTGAACAGGACGTTTTCTCACTAAGCATCAGCCCAGAAAGAGCTGCCCATCATTTGGCCAACTCAAGAAGTTTTGGTTTCACGGAGGTGACTAGCACAGCCATGGTTAAGACTTTTCTTTCTCAAAACCCTTCCTCACCTCAGATAGAAGTCCCCAGTTCTGCACGAGTATGAGGCTATGACATAAAAGGCCATGGTCCAGTAGAAAAAGGACTTTGGTTTTGGTAAGATGCTAATCATTAGGGTGAGTTTGGTTAGATATTCCTTTGGGTTCTTTTTTTTTTTTTTGAGACAGAGTCTCACTTTGTTGCCCAGGCTAGAGTGAGTGCCGTGGCGTCAGCCTAGCTCACAGCAACCTCAAACTCCTAGGCTCAAGCAACCTACTCTGCCTCAGCTCCAAGTAGCTGGGACTACAGGCATGTGCTCATGCCTGGCAATTTTTTATAGATATATTAGTTGGCCATTATTTTTGTTTCTATTTTATAGTAGAGACGGGTTCTCGCTCTCTTGCCTCAAGGCTTGGATTCACAAACTCTCTGGACCTTGAGCAATCCGCCACCTCGCGCCTTCCAAGAGTTGGCTTAGATTACAGGGGTGAGCCACTGTGCCCGGCCTGGGTTCTTGATTTTCTTATCTGTGAGGTGTCGTCAGTGAACTCATCACCAGAGTCAGTTCCAGGTCTAGCACTCTGTTTCCAGAGTGAGATCGCCAGGAGGAGAACCTGCATAGGCCTGAGTTGGGGCCCAGTATAGCATGACAAGATTGACCAGAGGTAGATCTTCTGGAAAGAGCATGGAATTGGAGGGAGAATGCCCGAGTTCTGATCTTTGCTTCCACCAGCTAGTTTTGTGGCATTGGGAGACCTCCCTAAGCCTCACCTTCCACATCGGCAATGCTGGGGCAATTCAGCTCACCTCGCAGGGCTGTGGTCAGTAGAGGCAGTCATATCGGTAGCAGCACACGGTAGACATGCAACATATTATCACGGCTACCCGTGGGTAGCCCTGCTACCTGCCGGCACTCTATCCGGATTACGTTATTTACTCTCCCAACACATTTAAGAAGGAGGTATCCTCATTTTACCCATTGGACAGTTGAAGAAACAGATTCAGAGGTCAAACCATTTGCACAAATGCAACCCAGGATGCTTCTCTCTTTGGTAACTGTGATTAAAATCATGCCTTTTAAAGTTCCCTCTGCTTTCTATAATAACATCACTCTCACACTTTATCTGCCACATTCGCATTAGAAATACAGCTTTTATCTGGATTCCAAGCAATTCACCTTCCCAAATCTTAGTTCTAAACCTCCCCAATCGTAACTACATCTCACTTCATCTCCTTTTAAAAATAAAATGTACATGTGTCTTAACAATTTGAAAGTTATACAGGCCAAGGAGGCTTCATGGAAAAAAATATAGCACTCATTTAAAAACTGGTATATTTCCATGGGCCATGATTTGGCTATGGCTGTATTTGTGGCTCTTTCAAAGCCCCTTGTGTTCTACTGGTAGCTACTCTAATGGACAGTAACAAAGGTGTACTTAATAGTTTAGTTTTGACTTTCCAGAGGCTGGTGACTTTGCACATTTGTACATGAGTACAGCCTTTCTTTCTCTCTTTCTGAGACAAAGTCTTGCTCTGTCACCCTGGGTAGAGTGCAGTGGCATCATCGTAGCTCACTGCAACCTCAAACTCCTGGACTCAAGCAGTCCTCTCACCTTAGCCTTCCAGAGTGCCAGGATTATAGGCATGAGCCGCCAAGCCCAGCCCATGAATATAGCCCTGCAAGCAATTGACTGAGCTGCAGTGTGTGGAAAAAGCTCTCATTACCTAAAGCACACTGATCTTTTTGTTACTTTTTGTGAAAGCAAATTGATTTTCCTGCGGGATTCAAATGGATAACAAACATCCATTTCTAACCGTTCTAAAGTTTCTCGGGCACCCCTGGGTAGGGCAGCTGCCAAGCCCAGGAAGCCTGGAGCTTGCCTGGGAGTGCAGTGAGTAGTACAGGCCGGAGGACTAAGGCAAAGACACAAAGATGCTGGGAAGGTCTTGGAACTTCTGCCTCCTCCCCTCCTAGCTGGAAACTTAGCTTCACCAAAGTCCCAGCAGATAACGTGGCCACCTTTGCTTTTTATAACTACTTACAGGGTGCAACTTCACGATTTAAATATCTTTTAAGGCCGGGCACAATGGCTCAGAGAACTTATTAGTTGAAGCTGAATTTGCTGGGAAAAAAATAAAAAGAAAGAAAATAAAAAAGAAAGAGAGAAAAAAAAGAAAATGTTTTAAATTTATTGAAAAAGTAATATATGAGCATAGCGAAAAGCTCACTCCATACAAACTCAAGCCTCTGTTCCTTCTGGTCGGTCTCCCTGAGGCAGCCACTGTTAGCAATCAGTTTTTCCAGGGACAGCTACAGATATTCAGATATGCACAGAGATCCATGCGTATTCCACAATCACCCTCCATGAATGTGGTGGTTCTATTTTGTGCCTTGTTTTTCCCACCTCCCTGTGTAACTTGGCAACTTTCCCTATTAGCATGGACACAGCGATCTCACTCTGGAAACACTCTCCTAATGATAGAGATTAAACTGTCTCTAGGCTTTTTGAGGCCATCTGTTTAAGACCCCTGGATGAGGGGTCTTTTACCCACATGTAGGAGTATATATCTCTAGGATCCATTACTACATGGGTCAAAGAATATGTATATTTTAATCATGGAGAGATAGTGCCAACTATCTAATCACAATCTTAGAATCATAGCTGGGAGTTTTTCCCTCTCCCGTTGTCCTTAGAGCCCTAGAGTTGCACAGTAGCTGCCTTGGCCAGAGGTTAGTGGGGAGGAGGAAGACAGGAAGGGGAGTAAGAACAAAGCTGCAGGGTCTCTACTTACCCAGTGCTGACTTCTCTAGGACAGTTTTATGTGAGCAGTTCCCATGCTTTATGGAAAGGGATCAGCTACTTAACTGCATTCACAAACACATACCACTGGTCTCTTTTACAACTGGGGAAACTGAGGCCCAGAACGTACATAGTAGAACCAAGACTAGAATGAGTGTTCACTCTAGGTCTAGTGTTAGCACCATTTCATTCATCATGCTATGGGTTTCATCTAATCTCCCTTTGGATGCTTCCTATTTTGGGGAGCTCACTATCCCTGGGGCAGCCTATGCCACTGGCGCAGTCCTGGCTTCCGCCTTTTGTTTAGCTGGAGCTTCAGTCACTGCAGCTGCCGCCAATGCTGGGCTTTGATCACCTGTCAACCTAACGGCTTTCAGACACCCTTGACTGGATCAGAAATTCCTCTTTGTGAAAGTTCTGAGTCTGGAGGCTGGGCATGGAGCCCAGGTATCTGCATTTAAACCTCTAGGGCAGGGCCAGGTGCAGTAGCACTCACCTGTAATCCCAGTTACTGGAAGCTGAGGTGGGAGGATCACTTAAGGCTGGAGTTCAAGAACAGCCCAGGCGAATAGCAAAAAAAAAAAAAAGTTAATTAAAAAAAAATCTCTAGGGAGGTACGCCTCAAATACCTATAGTAAAAGAATGGTTTGTTTGTTTAGTTTTCCAATCCATTTTGACTGATAATTTTCAAAATATGATAAAGATGTATTCCTAGAAAAATAAAATTTTATAAAGACAAAATATAAGCCCCTTCCACTTTTAAATTAGACTCAACCCAGACCTAACCTCAGTGAAATTGTTATAAAAATTGCTAAAGGCTGACTCTCAGTTTGTTTTTATCTCATCATGAAATGATAACGACAAGTTTGCAGACTGGCACCAGTCCAGGGATCACACTCCCAGTGACCCCATTCTAGGTGATAGTGATAAGACAGTAAAACACTATTTTAAGCTATTGAGCTTAAGTGACATAGAGAAAGAGCACAGAGCTGGGAGCTAAGGACCTAGGTTCTGATTCCGGCTCACTATCTTGCTTGCTATAAATAAGTCTTTTCCTCTCTCTGCATCTGTTTTCTCACTTGTGAAATACTTGCTAATCGCATTTGGGCATACAGTGGACCAAAGGGTAAGGTAATGGAATTTTCCTGGACAGTTAGGGGAATGAAGCCACCTGCCAATATCCAACCGCATGCTAGGGAGTAAAATAATTAGAGAGATATGCTTTAAGAGAATGAGAGTTTCAATGGTGCAAGGAGGTGGGAGGGATGGAAGAGGTGGAAATTTAGTTTGGAGGCATGAGGCACAATTGAGAAGGCAGGTCTCAAGCAATGACACAGCAAAGAGAACAGCTGAGTGTTATGTGTGAAGAAGGGGGGTGTGCCCTGCACGGGGTTTGCTGGTTTGACTGTGACTCTAAATGGGATGGGAGCTTCCTTTCCACCTGCCTCCTCCCTAGACTGTAGCAGCAGTCTTCATCTCTTCCTTCTTGCACTTGTCAAAGTCAAAATAAAAAGGTGGTGATGACTCTCTAAATTTAACATTTTACTCAGGAAGAAAAATTACAATTTGGGGTATACACATGCAAACCAGATGGTCTTCAGTATGTCCAAAGAAGAAAGAGAAGGCTGGAGGTTTTATTAAAAAGAGATATGTTATGTATTTCCCCTTGAGAAAGTTCATTGGCACTAGTAGAGTTCTGGCGAGCTGGCAAGTTTCGATTGAGTGATGGCAGGAGGTAAAACTAGTCTTAGAGTTGCAGCAGGTCGTTTCAGCAACTATTAGAAAAAACAGGTTTCAGGTTACAGCAGGCAGTTTCAGCATCCAGGCTTGCAGAAAATTACATTCTTAGAGCCATGTTACGTTTCTTGAGTGATTTTCCTCTGGCTTCTCAACTTTAGTTGGGTATGACTCAACCTCCAGATCCCCTCTGAAAACTTTCCATCCTTCTTCCCAGCCCCAGATCCCAGCGCCCTTCCTGGCCACTGTGTGTTGGCTCCAGGAAGGCACACTGAATCCTAAAAGTCAGCTGAGGGTTGGGATGATGGTTAGGCAGTCCAGGCACGTCTTTAGAAGGAGTTGTGGTCAGGCTTTCTGCTTCCTGAAAACCATGGGACAAAATATGCACAACTATTGTATTATGTTGCTGAAAGCTCACCACTTGTCCCCAAGACTGCATCAGAAGAATGAGGACAAGTGGTTTGAGGAGAAGGAAAGAAGAGGTTTATTAATTTGCCAGGAAATGAGGAGGTTGATAGACTCCAGTCTTAAAGTACTAACATCCTGCCTCTGAGCAGAAATACAGAGCTTTTAAAGGGGAAGTTCAATTTTAGTTAATGGTTTCTGATTTATCACATCTTCGGCTAAGACAATCTCATGAGGTCTTGCCTGGACAATTCCCTTGGGCCATCTCCTGTGGCACAAAGAATAAGGGACACTCCCCTGCCCCTCCTGACCAATGGGCTGTGCCAGGGATGTAGGCTTTATTTCTCAAAAAGGGTGGGGGGGGGTTTCGAAGAGACAGAAAACATTTTTACCCTTTTTCAGGCCATTCTCTCTATTACAATTATATTGTAATAGAGACAATACCAAAAACCACAGGGCATGTGACAGCAAAGAACCAGTTCAGTTTCAGGGACACATTGTTGTTGAACTTCTATCTGACTCTTAAGGTATAACATTTTTTATCTCTTTTGCCAGGAAATTAACTTTTACAAGGTCATCGACTACATCCTGCATGGCAAAGAGGACATCAAAGTCATTCCGTAAGTTTCATCTGTCAAAAGACAAAATAACAACAGATTTAGTTTAAAGATATCAATTGGCTTTATTTGTGATTCTAAAATTGGGCACCACTTCATTCCATAAAATAGAATAAGTGTTCCATGCGCTGAGCAGAAGAGGCTGGCTTTATAGACAGAAAAGGGCCGGAGACAGAGGAAACAAAGAACAAAGAGCATTAGTCATTTCAAAGCTACTTTCTTATAAAGCAGGGACGAGGAGACAGAATAGAAAAATAAATAACTGATTCATTAACATCAGGTTACTTCAAGCTACTTTTTTTTTTTTTTTTTTTTTTGGCATAAGGATTAAAGCAGAGAACTTCAGTATAATGCTAAGGGTAGGACTTTAACATGGGTAACTCCTAACCTGGTCCTTTAGGGGCTAGTGCAAGAGCCTCCTAACCTGGTCTGTTAGGGCCTAGTGCAAGAGCTTAGTCCAAAAACAATGGCCTCCCATAATTTTTATTTAACACGTCTCACAGCATATGAAATTCCAGGCACATCATCAACATCCAAAAGATATTCATCCCAAGGTCAACGCTAACCAAACCCAACAAGGCTGCGCGCTTGGTTAGGGGCAGAGGGAGCAGTGAGGAGGCCATGTGGAACGGTGGAGAGACTTGCATGGGGTGGGCAATGAGGCCCCAGGAGGGGAAGAGACGTGATCGAAGCCACAGTGTGCCAGATTGTGAGTCAGGCGCTCTGAGTTCCAGCCCCACATCCAGTGGCCTGTCTGGGCCTCAGTTTCCCATGTGTAGAATGAGATCAAATCAGGGCTATTCGACTGTTGTCTGTGGGGCTACTTCTGGGGTCCATGAAGGGGCAAAGCAAAAACAAAGAAAGTGGCTCAGTCCCTAAGGCAAGCGTACTGTTGTCCGAGGTCCTCTTCATATGTGACCAAGGAGGATAATGAAAAAGAAAGGCTGCTCTCAATCCTGCCTGTGGGTAGCTGGGACTCGATGATCATTTTAAGATTTGAACCGTTGCAGACCTTTTTAATATAGGCGTGTACTTTTTTGGTCAATAGAGCATTCTTAAAAATCTAGTTGCCTTCGTATCTGTTTGAATCCTCTCCACGTGCCAAGGGCCACACCCGTGGTTCCGTTCTGAGACACAGCTCTCTTCCCCAGTTTAATCGCAGGCTCCTGGGGGCTGCAGGGTTCTGTGGGAGAGCCGCACCTTAGCCTCGTCTCCCTGAGCTATTTTGTGGATCCGAGGGATTTACTGTACTGCCAGCTTAATCCTCAAACGGAGGGTGTGATAGGCCATGCTGATCCAACCCTCATGGCCAATCCCCTTTCACTCCGGTAAACAAGTTCTCAGATTTATCTGTCACCTGTGAGCATGAAAAGTTGGCTCAAGCCCCTGAATTTCTGGGTTCTCTGTATTTCCTTTCGTCCCTGCTAGCCCAAGGACTGATTCTCCGAATCTTTCCTAAGCTCATCTCTCCTTTCTTCTGTAACCTTGTCAAATGCATACTTGTAGACCATTCTGTTTTTAACTCCTTTTCTAGAGCTGCAAGTTGATTAAACTCAGTATCTGTCTTTTAAATGGTCACCGGTCATAGTTCTCCCAATGTTTTATCACTGCTTGACAAGCGTCACATCCTGCTAACCTCTGGTGACACTCCCCTTGCTGCCTGCCACTCAGCCCCTAACCTGTTCTACTTACCTATTTTGGGCTTTTTGTTCCAGCAGCATCCCGTTGCTGATACACATTTTCTTTTTTAACAGCCAGAGTAGGCTAGGCCATCCCATGAAGACCCTAGTGGGGTGAACAGCAAAGTTTCATTTTACCACCCACTCTGTGTGCGTTGCCAGCTGGTGCGTGTGGTTGGGGGATAATGCAAGGATTGTCCTCAGTCGTGGACCAAGGCTGAGAGAGCCGCCACCACTTTTTTTTTCATATGTTCTTTTTCCTTTTTTTTTTTTTTCCACACCGTACCAACAGTGGTAGAGCCACCACTTTGAACTTTGTGAGATTGACTGTTCTTGCCAGAAGAAGAGAAAGCCCCAACAAGCCAAAAACACACACTGGCTCTTTTTAAATGGCCCATCTTGGAGGTGGGCAACATGTTTTGGTTACTTCTCTCCACATTTCAATTGGCCCAAACCTAGTCACGTGGCCACATTTTCTTTCAAGTGGTGTAAGGGAATGCCAAACCGCCTGTTGTTGCCTCGGAAGGATGAACAGCCAGAATATTTGTAAACACTTCTTTTTTTTTTTTTTTTTTTGAGACAGAGTCTCACTCTGTTGGCCTTGGGCCCAGAGTGCCATGGCATCAGCCTAAGCCTCACATCAACCTCCAAACTCCTGGGCTCAAGCAAATCCCTCGCCTCAGCCTCCTGAGGTAGCCTGGGACCTCAGGCATGCACCACCATGCCTGGCTAATTTGTTTTTTCTATATATTTTTTTAGTTATTGGCCAATTAATTTTTTTTCTTATTTTTAGTAGAGACAGGTCTCCTCTCTTGCTCAGGCTGGTTTCGAACTCCTGACCTTGAGCGATCCTCCCACCTCGGCCACCATGCGCAGCCTGTAAACACTTCTAACGGCTGTCACAGTATAAGTCATCCAAACTAACAGAGGAAAAAAATTGAGTAGTCAATAAATGGCTAATCAAACCAAAAGAAGATAAAATAAAAGTTTAGAAGGATCACAGAGGCCAAGCCATGGGGTGGTCATCTGAGGGTCCCCAGCTGCCTCTGGGAGGGCTAAGGTGGAAATGGAATTGCTGGAGCCAGGAGAGTGTGAGCCAGCTGGGCAAACATTAGAGAGACCCCCTCTCTCTCTTAAGAAAAAAAAAAAAAGAAGAAGAACACAGAGCAGGTAGGAAAAATAAGAAATATACATTAAATGATATTTAAATCCAAATACATTAATAATTTTTTAAAAATGCAATCAAACAAGATATTACAGTTAAATGACAAAGATTGCCAGGCTGCATAAGGAAGAAATCTATCATCTTTCATTTGAATTCTAAGCCACGGCTTTTCTTTCTTTTGAACATGTCTTGGAAACCAGAAACGTGTACAAATGGTTGTTCAGCCATACCATTCATGATGTAATTGTCATTGCCCACCTAAGTGTGATCTTGGTCATAATCGTTGTCAAAAGGCAAAATCACAACAAATGTAAAGATCTCAGTTGGCTTTATTTGCAATTCTAGAATTGGGCAACACTTCATTCCATAAATAAAATAAGCAATGAGTTGAGCAGAGGGGTTTGGTTTTATAAACCAAAGGGTTGAAGAAAGCAGAAACAAAAAACAAAAATAGGATTGATCAGTCAAGTTGCTTTCCCTGTAAGGCTGGGATAGGGAGACAGAACGATAGAAAAATAACTTGTTGGTTAACATCAAGTTACTTTAGGTCACCTTTTTGCGTAAGGATTAAAGCAGAGAGAACGTCATTATCATATCTACTTATTTACTGAAGATTGACACTGGCTTTTTTGGGAAATTGGCTTTTATCTCTCCTGATTTCTCAAGAGAAAAAGGTCAGATAACAACTTAGTTTGGTAAAATGAAACTGTAGAATGAGTTACTCCATTTTAATTATTGATTTGGTCTGTTGAGGCTTCATGCAAAAGCTTAATCCAAAACAATGCCAATGATAATGGCACAAGGATGAATGAATACATCAATGGAACAGAACAAATATATATATATATACACACACACACACACACGCACACACACACACTACCAGTTTATTTCTGACAAAGATACCATTGCAAAGCAGTGGGGGAAAGAATGGTCTTTTTAATAAATAATGCTTGTATAAATGGGAAAAAAGAAGCACTATTCCTTTATCAAAAATAAATTATAGACTGTTGAGATGTTAAATGCTTAAAATATTACACAAATATAAATCATAGGTAGATTAGGGGTCTAAATATGAGACACAAAACTATAACACTTTTAGAAGGTAACATAAAAGAATAGCTTTATGATCTTGAGATAGAAAAAAAAAATTTAGGCCAGGTCTAGTGCCTTATGTCTGTAAACCCAGTGGTTTGAGAGGCCAACGCAGGAGGATACCTTGAGGCCAGGAGTTTGAGACCAGCTTGAGCAACATAGCAAGACCCTATCTCTACAAAAATTACAAAACTTAGCTGGGTTTAATGGGACATACCTGTAGTCTCAACTACTTGGGAGGCTGAGGCAGGAGCACTGATTGAACCCAGGAGTTTCAGGTGGCAGTGAGTGATGATGATGCCACTGTACTCTAGCCAGGGCAACAGAGCAAGGACCCTCATTCAAGTGTTTAGTCCAACAGTGCCTGCACTGAAAGTCACCATTTGTCTTTGGCCTTCACAGGAATCCCCCTCCTGACCACTGGGCTTTAGTAAGCGGTCTCCCCTCTTACGTCGCCCAGAACGGCCTGGTAAGTGGAACAGCTTTGAAGCGGCAGTGTTTGGGATCAGGTGGAAGAGGGAAAGGATTTCCAACCAAGAGAGCAGAAAAGACGGTGGGAAGTGTGGATCTCTCAAAGCCTGATTCTCTTGTTTCTCAATTCTGTTGGTCGTTGGTCCAAAGAAATGAACGGATATTTGACATTTGAGGAGATGTGAAACCCAGAGAGAAATAATCCTTAGATGGAAAGGTGCAGAGTCTCTCTGACAATGAAACACACTTATGTACGTGTGTGAGGGACACAGTCGTGACTGGCTGGTCTACCAGGCTCCTGAGACTAAGTCCTAACCTCTCATACCAGGGACTTAGTTGCTGCTTCCAACCTCCCATGCCCAGCACTCCCTTATACAGCTGAGCCCAAACGCTGCGTCTCCCACAGTGCTCTACCCACCCAGGGTCAAGGGTGGAGTGAGGGCCTCCCTTGTGCCTGAGAGCAAGGTCGTGTCTGCCAGCAGCACACCTCCCCCAAATCTGAGCCTGGTCACCCCTGCAGCCTTCCCCGGGCACTACACAATGCTGTCCATGTAGCAGGGTGTTTATTTACTGAGCGTTTTCTCTGTGCCAGGCACTGTGATGGGCTCTGGGGATAGAAAGATAGATGAAGCAGACACAGCTTCTGTTCTGAAGTTCATAATCAGATAAGGAGATGCCTTTGCTAACAGATGTCTACACCACAATGCGATAAGACCATGGTAGAGACGTACGTGGTGTGGTGTTTTCTGGGAATAAGAGTCGGGGCCTCTAAGCCAACCTTGATTTCCTAGAGTGTGTTGGTCTGAGTTGAGTATTACTATAAATAGGTCTTGGGCAGGTGGGGGCAGAAAAGGGGATTCCAGGTGGAGGGAAGGGCACGTGCAAAGACAAACAACACAAACATGGTGGTCTGGAGCACATGCATGTGCAGCTAAGTGTTGCTGGAGCACTGGGTCTGAGACAGGAGACGGCAGGTCATGACGCTTGGGAGGGAGGAAGGGACCAGGTCACAGTAGGCCTTGGATGCCACATCAAGGGGATGGGACTTTAACCTGCAGGCGATGGGTTTTTAAGCAGGAGATCAGCATAGTCAACTTTCACTTTAAAGAGCTAACTGCCAGCTCTGTGGAAAGTGGATCTGAAGTGTGGGACTGGAGGCAGAGCACCCAGTGGTTCGTCAGGTAAGAAGTGACAAGAATCTCAGCAAAGGCAGGTGCAGTAAAAAATACTATCATTATCACTAACTGGCACTGAGTACTCACGCTGAGCCAGGCACTAATTACATTTACTCATTTTTTAAAATAATAAAGCCCTTTCTAAAGCATGAATACATTTACTCATTTAGCACAGCAGCTCCGACAGAGATGAAATGGCCAGAAGGAGATGAGGGGTCTGATGTGGAGAGGGTAAGGCTGGCAGGACTTTGTGATTGATCACGAGCAGGGAATGGGGAGGAGAGGAGTCAAAGCCAACTTCAGGCTCCCAGCCTGGATGGGTCGTGCTGTCATCAGGCTTGAATGCAAGGTGGTGAAGTCAGTTTCAGACAAGGGGAAATGGAGACATTTTAGGAGAAAATGGCCAGCAAGGGGATGAAGAGATAGTTCTGATGCTGTAGGGAGGGAGGAGGGACGGAGATGGAGATTTGGAAGGTATCAAGACCAGATGGTCTTTGAAACTGTGAGTGTGAAAGAGGTCACCCAGGGAGAGTGAGACGGGCAGTGGGGCTCAGGGTGCAGTATTGGGTGATGCCGGCGTGTACAGGGTGGGCGGAGAAAGAAGAGAGTGGGAGGGGGAAACAGAAGGTCTTCGGTCCAGAGGTGTCTGGAGACCCAGGAGAGGGCAGTGTCATGGAAACCAAGGAAGTAGAAAGTTCAGCAAGGAGAGAGAGATGAATAAGGAACAATAGATGGAATTCCTTGTATTAAGCCTTTCTGTTCATTTTCTTTAGATAACTTTTTAAAAGTGCAATTAGTAGGTCAAAGCATCTAAAACTTTTGGGTATTGAAGCTGTGACATCTGTAGTCATTAAAATTCAATGTTGAATTGTCTGTGTCTAATAATAAACCCAGCGAGAATGTCGCAGATAGTGCAGCCTCTTTCCAGGTGTGACTGCCGTGGGCAGGCCTCTCCTGGCGGAGGTATTCCAGGTGCTGTAGCGGGGGAAGGCTTTGTGTCTGAGAATCGCATTTCACTGAGCCTTCAGTGACCCACAGTGAAACACTAGGTGCTATGAATTTTAAACTCTTCTCATATCTGATGTTAAAAAATGTTATCCAATTTTTATTTTCATTAGTATTTTTTGCAATTAATAAAGTTGAACATTCTATGAATTGAAAAAAAAAAAAAAAGGAGAGAGATGATCAAATGCAGCAAAGTGAACTGGTAAGATTAAACACCGAAACCCCCCACTGGGCTTGGTGGTTGAAAGGTCGTTGGTGGCCCTGACGAGAGCAGATTTGGTGGCCAGGTGAAAGCGGAGGCAGCATGTGGCTCCCTGCACAGCGCATGGGTGGTGTGGGGGTGAAGGATGCAGGAGAGAAGAGGAGACTGCCTGCATGGTTGCTGTGGGGACCATGTGGCATGGAGGAAGGATTTCATCCGCAAGGATGGAAGCAACTCCAGCGTGCGCACAGACTGGTGGTGAGGAGGCCTCTGCAGGCCGGAGATCAGGAGAGAACACTGAGAAGTGAGGGAGTTGGTCCAAAGAGGGGCCAGAAGGATGGTGCAGTGAATGGGCAGTCCTCGGACAGGAGCAGGGGCAGCTACCCCCTGACACCACGGACAGTCCACTCCTGTGTAGACAGGCAGCGCCGCCGTAAGCCCATGTGGTGCCTTTTAGAGATCCCTTCTCAGTGATGGCTGGAGACGGGTCAGGGGCACAGCCCTGCAACAGAGTGCAGGCTGGATCTCGGCTCCCAGTGGCCCCTTGGCCAGATGCCTTCATGCAGTTCACATACTGCACAGGCTCTACACAGTGTCCCCATAAGGCCCTAGGGGGATCGTGTAAATGTCATTGTCCTCTGATCCCTTGCCTGGTAGGGTAAGCTGGTACCTTTCGTTTCTTTTCTGTTTTTTTCTTTTAGAGACAGGGTCTCACTCTGCCTCCCAGGCTGGAGTGCAGTGTCACGATCGTAGCCCACTATAGCCTCAAACTCTTGGGCTCAAGCAATCCTGCCTCAGCTTCCCAAGTAGCTGGGACTACAGACACGTGCCACCACACCTAGCTGATTTTTAAAATTTTTTGGTAAAGATAGGGTCTTGCAATAGTGCCCAGGCTGGTCTCAAACTTCTGGCCTCAAGTGATCCTCCCACCTCAGCCTCCCAAAGTGCTGGGATTAAAGCCTTGATCCACTATGCTTGGCCTTCATTTCTCATTCTATTTGGGGTTTTATACCCTGGGAAAAACCCTTTCCTGCCAAAACAAACAAAACAGAACCCAAATGTAGTTGAGTCAAATATATTTAGATTAGCAGTATTTATATTAATTTTTTTTAGAAAACTGGACACAGCCCAAATACTCAACAGAAGAGGAGACAACAAAATGGGATACTATACAGCTGCTAGTAATGACCATTGCACCCTTAACTTTTCCAAAGTTTAGCAATGGTTCGAGAGTAAATAGCAAGAAGTAATATTTATAAGGTGGCTTTTCTGTCCAGTAGCCTCAGTTAATAATTCAAAACCATCTTGAGCATGTCTGTCTGATGAAAAGAATGTGAATGCCTTGGGCAAGGACATGGTGTTTCTGAGAACAGCATGCAGAGCTTCTCTGATTACTCCATCAGGTCTAATCGTAACTCTGTTATTCCCTGCACGGCTTTCAGATTTGCAACATCATGAATGCGCCTGCCGAGGACTTTTTTGCATTTCAAGTAAGTAATACTTTATTTGCTCTCTTAGTCATATGATATTTTTTTTCTCCAAAAAGAGCATTAGAATACTTTAGCATCCACCTACTCTGTTGGGAAGCAATCTCAACAAAGTAAAACCACGAATGGAATGAAGTCATGTGCCATTGGAAGTGGGGAGGGAGTTAATTGGTAATTTCCAAGGTCACATTCAGGTGGTGTTTTTTGTTTTTTGTTTTTTTTTTAGATACGGGGTCTTGCTCTGCCACCCTGGCTGGAGTGCAGGGGCCTCGTCACGGCTCACTGCAGCCTCCAACTCCTGGGCTCAAGCCATCCTCCTGCCTCAGCTTCCCAAGGTGCTGAGATTACAGGCGTGAGCCACCGCACCTGGCAGCACACTTGGTTTTAACATTCACAGCATTTGCTTTCTAGCCTCAGGGACTTCTTCCCTCCCAATATACACGGTAAACAAAAGCTCCAAAAGAGGTTTTATTATCAGATTTAGACGTTAACATTATATTTTAATAAATATAATCAAAACACAGCTTTGCCAGGGATTTTTTTAATTTTAGAGATAGGTTCTCACTTACGTTGCCCAGGCTGGAGCACAGTGGCTATTCACAGGCGTGGTCAGAGCACACTGTGGCCTTGAACTCCTGGGCTCTAGTGATCCTCCTGCTTTAGCCTCCCAAGTAGCTGGAACTACCAGTGTGTGCCACACGGCTGGCTCTGACCTCAGGATCTTTGCTTATGTTGTTCCCTCGATGACCATCATTTCTTGCCTAAATCCTCTCTACCCTTCAACAGCAACCCAAATGCTACCACTGCTATTAAGTATTTTTCTGATCCCCCTGGCTAAATAGCATTTCTGCTTGGAATTTTTATGGAATATTGCTTAATAGTCATTTGATTTTGTTTGTATTTTATTTTATATATATATATATTTATAAACGATTTTGGAGAGCATCCTGTGTGCCAGGTACTGACGCAATACCACGCTGGCTACAGTGGTGGACCAGGCAGGCGTGTTCTTTCTCCCCACGGAGCTCACGGTAGAGTGAGGAAAGGGACACACAGTGGGGTCAGGGGAGGGGCAGGGGACAGAGGAGGAGCTTGCTCAGGGGGGCCTGACTTAATCTGGGAGGAGTCCAGAAACGTTCCCCTGAGGAAATTATGTTTGGGCAGTAAAGATAGCAGGGGAAGCTGCAGGAAAGAGATGGCTTATTATTCTAGAAAGAACTATGGTAAGCCAAGAGACCTGAGTGTGAAACTGAGGAGGAGGATGGCAGGAAAAGACTCTAGAGAGGCCTGGATGGTGCAGGGCCTGGAAAGGCATGCCAAGGAGTTTGTCACTCTTTTTTTTTTTTTATTTCGCCATTTTATGGGGGTACAGATTTTAAGGTTTCAATAAATGCCCATTTCCCCCCCCCCTTTTTTTTTTTTTTTTTTTTTGAGACAGAGTCTCGCTTTGTTGCCCAGGCTAGAGTGAGTGCCGTGGCGTCAGCCTAGCTCACAGCAACCTCAAACTCCTGGGCTCAAGCAATCCTCCTGCCTCAGCCTCCCGAGTAGCTGGGACTACAGGCATGCGCCACCATGCCCGGCTAATTTTTTCTATATATATTTTTAGTTGGCCAATTAATTTCTTTCTACTTTTACTAGAGACGGGGGTCTTGCTCTTGCTCAGGCTGGTTTCGAACTCCTGACCTCCAGCAATCTGCCCACCTAGGCCTCCCAGAGTGCTAGGATTACAGGCGTGAGCCACTGTGCCCAGCCTGTTGCTCTTATATTTTCCTTACTTCATCTTTGATTATCCTAATTTCCGTTTTAAACTCATGTCTCTCAGTAGAATATTGGCTAGATAATTAAGAAGGAAAAAAGGCCGGGCGCGGTGGCTCACGCCTGTAATCCTAGCTCTCTGGGAGGCCGAGGCGGGCGGATTGCTCAAGGTCAGGAGTTCGAAACCAGCCTGAGCGAGACCCCGTCTCTACCAAAAATAGAAATAAATTAATTTGACCAACTAAAAATATATACAAAAAATTAGCCGGGCATGGTGGCTCGTGCCTGTAGTCCCAGCTACTTGGGAGGCTGAGGCAGTAGGATCACTGAGCCCCGGAGATTGAAGTTGCTGTGAGCCAGGCTGACGCCACGGCACTCACTCTAGCCTGGGCAACAAAGTGAGACTCTGTCTCAAAAAAAAAAAAAAAAAAAAGAAGGAAAAAAAATGACTCAGGAAAATCAGCGAGTTATTTATTTATTTATTTTTGCCCCTCAAAGAACATTATGAAAGACCTTAGGAAGAATAGACTTCCAAAGTTAAAAGTGCCCTCCATCTGTTGGCATGTTGCCCACATCAACGCGACAAGCCCAAAGTTGCTGAGTCGTCAACCTGACGGTAACCACCACAGACCTTCGTCTTTACCCAGGTCCTGCAACTGATGGCGGTTGGTTTTCCCACATTCGTAAACCAAATTCAATCTTATTTTGAGGTTCTAGTCTTCCTCCTCCCACTCATCCTCCACAACATAGGTTGAATCCAGTAACTTCTGTGCTCAAAAATCTTTAATGGTGCCCCATTTCACTTTCAGTAAAATCTGTCTCCTCATGAGGGCAGTCAGGGGGAAGGGATTCCCTGTACTGGTGTAGGCAGAGAGCTAGGGGAGGCGGGTCTTGCGCTCAGGACAGCCCTGTGCTCTTCAGGCTGACCGCTGCCCCCTCTGGGGACACGCCTACCAGGTGCTGAGACGGAGCTGCCTCACTTTCTAGGGTTTTTTAAATAATAACAATTATCATGTCACCACCTTAAGAATCTTTAAACTCAGAACTGGAAGACTCGCTTACTCCAGGAAGCCTTCCTTGACTTCCCACAGTACATGAAGATAAACCCTAACTCTCTTAGAGACCTTCCCACACCGCAGCGTTTATATTGCTCATGTACCTCACAGATTGTGAGCAACCTGAGGACAGGGCCTGGGCCTCATGTGCCTTGGTTTCCCCAGCTTCTAGCTCCGTTTCTTGCACATTGTAAAATGTTTGCTGAACCCATGGAAAAAGGGTCGGGAAATTAGTCCAGTTGTCCCCAGTTTATAAATGATGAAAGTGAGGCTCAGACGGACGGGAAATGACTCACCAAAGACGTCTTACCGTTGGCCAAGATCCTCACGTGTTCAGCGAGGTACACTTTTCCATCTAGAGATGAGAAAATGGAGGCCCAGGGAGGTAGAACGACATGTCAACAATAACACAGAAGTCAGGATGAGAGGCAAAAAGCCACGAGTTGTATCGAGCTGATTAATTCAAAGTCACAAGATTCACCAGCATTGCTCTCTTAAGCCAGTCCCCTGCCATTGCCTCCTGTATCTGACAGGGAAACACTGCCTGCCTGGGCTGTTTCTGCACGTCACCGTGTCCCCAGCCCGTGACACACTGCCTGACACACACCGGCCCCCACATCTCAGGGATGAAAGCAATATGGCTACCTAAGGAATTCCAACCAGATGGGCTCATGGCATTCGTTGGTGACTAAAACCATGCAAAATCCAACACGCTCCATCCTCTTGCCACCCGCCTCAACCAATCAGGGTTGGGACAAAGTGTGAAATCCGTCACAGCTGCGTCTGCAGCCCGGAACCCGAGAAAACCTAATGTGGCCCTTCTCTTATAGAAAGAGCCATTGGATGAGTCTGGATGGATGATCAAAAATGTCCTTTCCATGCCAATTGTGAACAAGAAGGAAGAAATTGTTGGGGTGGCCACGTTTTACAATCGGAAAGATGGGAAGCCTTTTGATGAAATGGACGAGACCCTCATGGAGGTATGGTTTCTAGGGGTCTTTTGCTGCGGGATCCAGAGTCAGCTTTCGTGGTGCAGCCCCAAGGTGCTATCGTGTGGGGGCATAGGAAGCTCACCTTTCTTCGCTCTCGCTTCTGCACTGCACCCACGTGTTGTCAGAGAAATCCACATTCCCTTTTAAAATATTTGTTTCTTTTTTTTTTTTTATTTCTATTTGTGGTGGAGATTAAAATATTTGAATCAATAAACTTTACTTTTTAGAGCAGTTTTAGGTTCTTAACAAAATTGAGCAGAAAGTACTGAGAGTTCCTAAATACCTTTTCCCCACATATGCAAAACATATCCCCTTTGTATGAAGGTGTTTTTTTGGGTTTTTTTTGCCACAGAGTCTCTCTCTGTCACCCCAGCTAGAGTGCAATGGTGTCATCAGGGCTCATGCAACCTCCAACTCCTGGGCTCAGGCTACGCTCCTGCCTCAGCCTCCTCAGTAGCTGAGGCCACAGGCATGTGCCACAACACCCAGCTAATTTTTCTATTTTTAGTAGGACGGGGTCTCACTCTTGCTTAGGCTGGTCTTGAACTCTTGAGTTCAAGCGATCCTCCTGCCTCAGCCTCCCAGAGTGCTAGGATTACAGGTGTGAGCTGCCACATCCTGCCTTTATGAAGCTCTTGTGTTTAAGAATGATACATTATGTATGTTAGTGCTTTACTTAAAATGTGGTCATACCCATTACCTTATCTTATTCTTACGACACCTCTGGGAGGTGGGCAACACTCAGCTTATAAACCCATTTTACAGCTGAGAAAACGGAGGCCTAGAGAGTGTTGCCCTAAGTTACTGAGTCAGGATCAAACCTGGGTGTTCTATCTCTGATTCTTTTTGTCTTTCTTTTCAGTCTTTGACTCAGTTTCTGGGCTGGTCTGTCTTAAATCCTGACACCTATGAGTCAATGAACAGACTTGAAAATAGAAAAGATATTTTCCAAGACATAGTAAAATATCACGTGAAGTGTGACAATGATGAAATTCAGGAAATCCTGGTATGTAACGTTCTTTACTTTGTTCTACTCTAGTAGAGTCTGTGCCTCAGAGATGTGGCCAGACTAAGGTGAGACTTGAAACTCCACCAGGGCACAGCCTGGGTGTGGGTTTGCTCATGGCTAAATCCCTCCTGCCTAGCCAGGATGCACAGCCCCCAAAGGTGAATGAATGGAAGAATGGATGGATGAGTGCTGGACAGTGGCATAATGACTGCTGTGGATGGCCTGGGGACAGCTATCCCTTGTAAGGAAACCTCAGTCTTGAGGCCAGACATTGGCTTGACAGCTCTAGAAACTCCTTTTTTTTGAGACAGAGTTTCACTCTGTCCCCCCAGCTAGTGTGCAACAGCTTCATCATAGCTCACTGCAACCTCAAAGTCCTGGGCTCAAGCCACACTCCCACCTCAGCCTCCCAGAGTACTAGGATTACAGGCGTGCGCAGCCGTGCCCAGCCTAGAAGGCCCGTTTTTCACCATGCTCCAGGCTGACCTAGTGCTAGAGACAGGGTCAACTGGCCATACCCCTACTCTGAGAGGAAGCTTATCTGACAGACCAATGGACAATGATCAGCTTCTCAGAGCCCCCTCCTGTGCAATCCGCTCACTTCGAAGACCCTATCAAATCACAGCAGCGTCCGGTGAGCAAAGAAGAAATTCTGAGGGAGTAGGGAGCCCTAAAACAGTTTCACCACTTACATAATTTATAAGGCAAATTCACACTTATGATCTTGTTTGATGCTTACAAGCATTAGCCCAGCAAGATGGGCAGGATAAGGATTTCTGTCTTCACTGTAGAGATAAAGTGAGACCAGAAGGGGGAACTAAATTGTTCTCAAATCATCCAGGTGGGAATAGGTCTCACTTAACCTTTATCGGGATAATGAACAAATTCTCAGCCCAGGCGTTGGAGGTTGCAGTGAGCTATGATGACGCCACTGCGCTCCAGCCAGGGCAACAGAGGAAGACAATGTCTCAAAAAAAAAAACCAAAAAGTTCTCTACATTCTTAGGAATGGGCTGCCTAGGAGATGGTGAGCACCCTATCACGAGAGGTATCCAAGCGGAGGCTGGATGACCATATATCAGAGATGCTATAGAGGAGAATCCTACCTCACGTGGGAAACGGACTAGATGGTTCCAAAGAGCAAGCGTCTCTTTCAATGATTTATTATTCCTGGAGCTTTGGTCTCAAAGTGATCGAGATGTTAGAAGTACGCCGAGTTAGTTAGCCAAACGGCACCGGACATGCCATTCGCTGAGCCCCCACGACCTTGGCTTACAACCTCACAGGTTGAAACAGCACAGGCCATTTCTTAGGCTGAGAAGATACCACAAAAAAATGTGATCATTTCATCCCAATAGCTGGCAAATTCAGAGGAGAAAACCCACAGTTTGAATGAATTGCCTCCCAGCTTGCTTGACTCTGTCGATAATTTCAGCCAAATGACGGGCCTGTGGAACCCGTGGAGGCATAGCCATAGCGAACCAGTTCAAAGCGAATGGATTTTGCTCTAAGCCAAAAAAATCGGAAAGAGGTAACTGGGTCTGGGTTCCTCCCCCTCTGGCACATGGGAAAATAGGTCCAGAGAGGGCAGAACCTTGCCTCAAGTCACACAGTAAATGAGAGGAAGAACCAGGACCCTGGCCAATGCCTCCTCACTCCCAGTCTGTAATAACAACAACATAACTATCAACAACATGATTTTATTTTAGTGTTTATTATGTCCCAAGCACCATGCTAAGTGCGTTACATACATTATTTAATTTAGTTGTACATATGTTGTTTAAAAATAACTTCGCACAATAGAATTTTAATTCCTCAGGTAAGTACTTATCCCTAGTTATTATCCCTAGTTTACAGATAAGAAAATTGAGGATTAAAGACATTAAATAATACTGCTAGTCAATGGCAGAGCTCAAATTTGGATGCAGGGCTCTATGGCTCCAAGGTCCATGACTTTGTTTTTGTTTTTGGTTTTTGAGACAGAGTCTTGCTCTGTTGCCCAGGCTAGAGTGCAGTGGCACAATCATAGCTCGCTGTAATCTCCAACTCATGAGTTCAAGGGATCCCCCCACCTCAGCCTCCCAAGTAGCTGGGACTAAAATGGCCCCTGTCTCCACACCTGGTATGTTTTTGTTTGGCTGGTTGTTTGTTGGCTTCTTGGTTGGGTGTTTTTTGGTGGAGAAGAAGAGGTCTCCCAGGGTTTCCCAGGCCAGTCTTGAATTCCTGGCCTCAAGCAATCCTCTCACCTTGGCCTCCCAAATTGCTGGGATTACCCACATGAGCCACCACACCCCAAAGCCCATGACTTTGACTTTGCACATCGATGAGTGTTAAAGGGCCACGTCTCTGAGTTGGTGGTTCTGTTGCTAGGACTTTGGAGGAAGGAGAAAAATGGGAATGGAAAAGCGGAGGCTTGTTTAGGCCTTAAATGTAGTAACCTTTTTTTTTCCCTCTGCTATTTTGGGCCCTGGCAGAAAACCAGAGAGGTGTATGGGAAGGAGCCATGGGAATGTGAGGAAGAGGAGCTGGCTGAGATCCTGGTGAGCTGAACTGGAGCAACAGTGGCCCTGACAAGTGCGGGGCGTGTGGGCGTGGCTTTGCAAAGCATGTTCCCCACCACTCTGCTCTGATCCTCCCAGCACACCCGGGATAGGGACAGGGCTGGGAGGCCCAGAACACTTCATGTTCCCTGATCACTTGACTCTCTTCCTTATACAGCAAGCAGAGCTGCCAGACACAGAGAAATTTGAAATTAACAAATTCCACTTCAGCGACTTGCCCCTAACAGAGCTACAGCTGGTGAAGTGTGGAATACAGATGTATTATGACCTCAGAGTGGTGGATAAATTTCACATTCCGCAAGAGGTGAGGTCAAAACAAACATCTTTGGTTTCCTTTTTTCTTTTTCTTTCTTTATTGTTCTTTTTTTAAAAAATGCAATCTATAAAGCACCTTAAAAAGAGTGCACCCCCAGTGTTTAGGATTTAAAGCATTAGTCATGTTGCACAGATGAGTCATTCATCAGAAAAGAGACACTGTTCCTTCGAAGTGTGACGTTTTGGATGCACTGGCTTCTTGCAGTGTGTTCCGAGGCATTAAGCTCTGAAGGCCGTGAATAGATGTGCCGCAAAAACAGGTCCCAGAGTCAAACAAGGGCAGGAAGTGTGGGCTAAACTCATTGAAACGGGGCTCTTTCCCTTCTGGATTCTTTACTGAGGTGTACTGTGAATCTAGGGGAATGAGGGATGGGCAGAGGTGTCTGTGGGGAGGGGGGTGGTGGTATATGGAGCACAGAATTCTCCAGACTTGTTGGAGTAAAGCAGTGGTTCTCAAAGTGCTGCCCCAGACCACATCGGCATCACCTGAGAACTTATCAGAAATGCAAATTTCCTTTCTCTCTCACACACACATACACACACTCACACTCCCAGCTCTAAAGAATCAGAAACTTGGTGTTTTAACAAGCCCTCCAAGTGATTTTATGGACACTCAAGTCTGAGAACCACTGGATTAAAGAACCGTTTTGTTTTCCTCCCTATAAAGCCCCCATTAGTTTGTCCCAGGACACTAGCTCTCTGGGGCACAGTTTGGAATCACTGATGGAGCACAATCAGTAGAATGACTCACATCTTTATTTTCTAACAACAGCCATGCTCTTAGTATTTAGCGGTTTGCAAAACACTTTCACTGCATTATTGCATCTATTGCTAGTTCCTACCTTCTGGTCCAATGACAGGGCTGGAGGACCTCAGGCCCCAGGAGGGAGGGCCCGGGGCACCTGGCTGAGTGTGTGCTGCTGCCTCACTGACGTGCGTGTGTTCACAGGCCCTGGTGCGGTTCATGTACTCCCTGAGCAAGGGCTACCGCAAGATCACCTACCATAACTGGCGGCACGGCTTCAACGTGGGGCAGACCATGTACTCCTTGCTGGTGGTATGGCGGGGCTGGCGGGGCAGGAGAGGTGGGGCTGTGCCACACAGGACAACCTCTTAGAGACACTTCACGTGGCAGCAACAGCTTGTTCTTCTTCCTCTATTTATTGCCTTTTAAGAATTATGCAAGAGTAGTACATGCTTAGAATAAAATAATTCCAAGAATAGAGAAGCAAATAAAATAAAAAGTGAAAGAAAGTTGCTACCTATCCCCAACCTCAGGCCGGGTGTTTGGAGGTAACCACGGCACAACTCTTTCCAAATTTTCTTCTTGGATCTGTCGAAAGAAAAACTTTAGACAAATTAAATTTAGGTGGAGTTCATTGAACAAAGAAACAATTCATGAACCAGGCAGCACACTGAACCACTAAAGGTTCAGAGAGCTCCCCACAGCAATGTGGGCAGGCAGTGTTCATAGACAGAAAAAGAAAATGACATATGGAAATAGTTCGATTGGTTACAACTTGATGATGATTGCCTTAGTTGGACGTGTCTGAGCAGTTTTGCAGCCTGTGACTGGCTGAAAGCTCAACTGATATGATAATCAAGACTTGGTTATTCATTACAAGAATATACTCTCAGGGTGCAGTTTCTTTACATATTAAGTTAGGCTACAGGTTGATGTGTGGAAGCAGCTTTAGGTCAAATTTAAATTAATTTAACAATTCTGCCCTTTTAAGGTCAGCCTCTGAATTTTGAGAGATTGACCAAAACGTTGGACACTGACGCCACTTTCCGTCACCATCATAACGGACTTGTTTGGTATCAGTATAGAATTCACAATTCACAACGTCAAATTAATCGGATTATTCTTTATGCTTTCTTCCTGGTTTTGTCATTTTCACCATAATGAGACCATTTGATGTACAGAGGATGGCTGCATATATAAGCATCTGAGATTCCTGAGGGGATACGACACATCGGGGAGATTATTAGGATGTCTCTCAGGAGGATAATGCCAAAAGCTGGATTACACTCCTTAATAGGACTCCCAAATCAAACAATTCAAAGTTCAGGCAATAAAGATCCAATAAAGAAATAAGTCAACAGTTCAACAATGCAATTGGTCATAGTCTTTGTTCAGAGCACCATGGTAATTAAGGTTCACTATAAAATGGCCTGATATAAAGAGGTATCCATTTCTATAGTTAGCCTGGCAACATGAGTCATGGTAATCTGGAGATCCACTTTAAAAAACATAAAGATTAGAAAACCTTGGAATAGAAAAGCTTGCCATTCACCATTCAGGATGCCTGCAAACCAACTGTTAGCTACTCCTGTAAATGTACCGTGTGTTTCTTTCTCCAGAGAAATTTCCTTACATGTGGCAGTATACCCATATCAGGCACATTTTTTTTAAAGATATGGGGTCTCGCTTTGTTGCCTAGGCGGGAGTGCAGTACAGTGGCTGGATCATAGTTCACTGATACCTTGTACTCCTGGGCTCAAGTGATCCTCCTTGATCAAAAGCTTAACAAAGACAACATGAAGCACAAAATATTATTTTGGTAAAACACAGAATCTTTGTTTCCTAGGCCAATTGCCTAAAAAGAAAAGAAACATCTTTCACAATTTCTTATTAAAAGCAGCCCAATACTTCAAGAAAACCCTTATTGTTTTAGCAGAGAGGACCAAATTCTAGTTTTGTATCAGTGTACTTTTGATATTAATGCTCAATTTTTAGAAAAACTTACAAATAAATGTTTTCTAATCCTAGCTAGTTGGGTTGCACATAAAATTCCTTTCACAAGATTCATCTTCCACAAGCCTTCTACGACTTTCTCATCCATTCAGTTTTTGTTCTATACTTTTTCTCTTCTCATTTTAAAACAACCAGTCATTCTACCTTAGGACAAAAATTACTCTTTTCCGTTAGCAGAATAAAACATCCTCATATTTTTAGCTTTTCCTTAACCAAAATCACATCTTACCTTCCTTTTATACTTACAGGTATAATTGTTTGCCTTGTTATTTTTACTAATTTTAGTTATGCATATTAATTAGAATTATTAACCCTTAGTGACCTTAACTTCCAGTAAAGACTAGGAAGCAAGCAATTGTGAACTGTCACACCAGCAATCTGTGGATCAATATGTCTGTGAATCATAATTTATAGAAGCATGTGCTTTCTCATAGTACAATTTGTCAAATGGAAGTCTCACATCCCAGAAAAATGCTCAGCCCTGGGCAAACCTCTGGTCAGCCTACAGAGCCAGGCATGGAACCCAGATCAGACCCATACTTCCAAGCTCTGGGCCCTCTCCCTTCAGATCCCACCCCCCTTTCAGCCCTCCTTCCAGTCCCCACAGAAAAGGAGTGACTTGGACTCTGCTTGCCCTTCTAGACAGGAAAACTGAAGCGATACTTCACGGACCTGGAGGCCCTGGCCATGGTCACTGCTGCCTTCTGCCATGACATTGACCACAGAGGCACTAACAACCTCTACCAGATGAAGTGAGTCACCCCCTCCCTTTCCCCAGCCACTGGGATTCATTACTCAGCTCTGCATGGCTGCCAGACAGACTCACTGGCTGAGGGGGAGGTCTCGCTGCCCACAGCTTCCCACTTGCTTCTGCCCTTGGGATCTGGGTCCACTCCTGTGGTAGACATGACTTCCCAAAGATACCCACATCCCAAACCCCAGAGTCTGAGCATATGTTGCCTTGCATTCAATAGGGAGTTAGGGCTGGGCACAGTGGCTCACACCTGTAACCTCGGCACTTTAGGAGGCTGAGGCGGGAGAATCATTTGAGGCCAGGAGTTTGAGCCTAGCCTGGGCAACATAGTGAGACTCTGTCTATACAAAAAATAGCCAGGCATGGTGGCATGTGCTTGCAGTCCTAGCTACTCAGGAGGCTGAGGCAAGAGGATCACTGGAGCCCAGGAGTTTGAGGTTGCTGTGAGCTATGATGACGCAACAGAGCGAGACCTTGTCTCAAAACAAAAACAGAAATGAAAGAAACAAATAAAAGGGACTTTGCAGACCTGAGAGATGTGATTGTCAAGGATCTTGATACAGGGATTATCTGGATGGGCCCCAGGTAGGGGAAGGGTCCTTATCAGAGGAAGGCAGGAGGTCAGAGGAGAGAAGATGCTGCCCTTCTGGCTTTGAGGATGCAGGAAAGGGCTGCAAGCGAGAATGCAGGTGGCCTCTAGAAAAAGCAAGAGAACAGAGTCTCCCCATGAGCCTGCAGAAGGAAAGCAGCCGTGTGGACCCATTTTAGACTTCTGAACTCCAAAGCAGTAAGATAATACGTTTTTATTGTTTAAAGCCATTAAATTTGTGGCAGTTTGTTACAGCAGCAATAGGAAACTAATGCATTAAACTCTTTCATCCTCCTCCTTCCCTGTCCTACCTACTGAACTAATTGGAGCCAAGTTACAATCCTCTGACACTGTGGGCTGGGCGGAGAGGGACTGTGTCATTCCATATTACAGGATGAGGAGATGAGACTGCTGCCCAGGCCTAGAATTAGGAAGCACTTAACATTCTGGTCTTCTCAGTCTTCTGAGAAGACTTCCACTGCTGCTCAAGGCTAGCTGTGTTTACTGTATTTGGGATCTAAGTGCCTGGACATGGTGCTTGACACATAGTAAGGCACACAAATATTTATTAATTAAAAAATGAGGTGAAAAATTGTTGTGGAATTAATGGTTTCCCTCAGATACAGGTACGGAGGACAAGGATTAGATGTCTTCAACGTGCCAATGTCCTAAATTGCTGTAGGCATTGTTGTGTGTTGTGCCTTTTTTGGGGATAAGGGTCTATACAAGTCCGAGCGATTCTCTAGGGATCGAGACTCACGGTGGCTCAGAATTGCTTGTGCAGAGCTAAGCTGCGACTCAGGAGCCGTGATGTTCAGTCTACTGATTTTCTGGTTGTCCAATTCCGTACTGATTTGTTTTCTCTGTCCCTCCCTCCCTCATGCAGATCTCGCCCGTAGCCAAGCTCATGGCTTCCTCCATCCTTGGAAAGACAGCCACCTGGGTTCGGCAAAACGCATGCGAGAAGAGGTAGGAACGAGGGCGCTCTGTTGCTGGCATCGGGGCCCTGACAGATGACCATCTCACGAGTAGCCTGAGTGTGCCCACGCAGATTTGTCTCACTGGCCTGGGCTTGCCTCCTACATTATCTGGGCGGGCCACTGTTAGTAAGTTAGTGACTACTGTCACCCTCCTTTCCCATCTCTCTCTCCCTGTTTTTTTCTTTAGAACCTGAATATCTTCAAAACCGTCATCGCCGAGAACATGAGCAATGCATCACATGGATGGACATCGCATCCAAGAGCCACTGACCGTACGCCTTGGTATTGTCAGTTTGGTATTTCTTCCTTTAATATAACTCGTCGACAGGGATTATAATAATAAAACACGCGCGTTCCATTGCTTAGTGTTTTACTAGGTTGCCAGGCACCATGCTTGTGCCATGGACACATTGACTCTCTAATAACACCGTGTGAGTTAGTATTTCCCCACTGTACAGATGGGAAAATGGATACTTGGGCAAAAAGTTTGCTAGTCAGTCGCCATCGTTGGCAGAGTCTGGGTTGAAAGGGTAGGTTCTGTCACTCTCAGGCCTTTGGCTTTTTTTTTAAATTTTGTTTTGTGAATTTACGCTGATTCATAGACTCCTGAGTCAGCAGCTATGAGCCATGGTTGGCCTTTTGTAAGATTGCTCCTTGCGGTGGCCCAGTGCAGTGGGTTTATATAATGGATTAACAGCAGATTTCTTGTCTTCTTCTATGTTATTGACTACCTTTTTATAACTAAAAAAATAGCATTGTCTCTTTCACGCATCTGGTGTGTTTCGTGGAATTTTGAGGATGTTCCGAGTCGTGATCAGTATAGGTTACAGGCGGACAGGAGTGGACACGGTAATGATGCTGGAGCAGAATCGGAGGAGATCGTTAATCGTGAGTTGAGACAGGGATCAAACGACTAGCGGGTCCGGGTGAGACGTGCACTGACGCTTTGCTCCCGACGTCCCGGAGCTTTCCATTTTGGAGGTTCAACATATTGAGATGAAGATCACTAAATGTCAGTTGGATGTTCTATCTTATTAGCACTAGAAATATAAAACACTACACTATTGTTTTATTTCTCTGTATACAAAAAGTATATTATTTGTATACAATATATATGTATTTATATATGTATAAATTGTATATGTATTTATTATAAGTATATTATATATATTTCAATCATAAAATATAACTTTCAAGTGTTTTATTTTTATTTTTTTTAGAGACAGAGTCTTGCTATTTTTTTTAGAGACAGAGTTGCCCAGGCTGGTTTTGAACTCCTGGCCTCAAGCAATCCTCCCACCACAGCCTCCCGGAGTGCTAGGATTTACAGGCATGAGCCACTGCGCCCAGCCCAAAAAGTGGACTTTATACCAGTGGAGAAAGGTGTAAATTCATGAATGTGTTGGGACAACAGGGTGGCCACAAAGTTAGATCCCAATCTCACTCCTTACAACAAGATAAATTCTACATGAATCAAAACTTTTAAATAATGAGGGGGCCAGACTCGGTGGCTCATGCCTGTAATCCTAGAACTTTGGGAGGCAGAGGCGGAGGATTGGTTGAGGCCAGGAGATAGAGACCAGCCTGAGCAAGAAGTAAGGAATATAACACTAGAAAAATATATTAAAATTAATAATGTTTTAATTTACCTAACTCATTCTGAGTATCTTGGGTTAACCAAAGTGCCACCGAGAAAGTATCAGAGATGTGATTAATAGCCCTAGAAGTCTTGGCTAAATCTCTAGGGCATGCTTCCCAGAAAGTGAGGAAGTAAATGATTCTAATGTTTGCTTTCAACAAAACTAAAGGAGAATCTATTATAATTGAATCATCTGCTGATAGATCATGCAGAAAAATGATCACAGTATTTTTTTCTTTTTTTAAAATTCTTTCTCTTTTTTCTCTCCCCTCTACATGATATGATTTTTAATAGTTAATTTGAGAGAATGCAAAGAATTGAGTGACAGTGTTGTAATAAAACTATTTCCATTGCCAGGGTTTCTAAGTACTTGAATTTATGAAAATGAAAAATGGGCATAAAAGAGATTCTGGATCCTATGTGTCTAGCAATAAGAAATTAGTCAAGCCCGGGGCGCGGTGGCTCATGCCTGTAATCCTAGCTCTCTGGGAGGCCGAGGCGGGCGATTGCTCGAGGTCAGGAGTTCAAAACCAGCCTGAGCAAAGCGAGACCCCGTCTCTACTATAAATAGAAAGAAACTAATTGCCAACTAATATATATTAGAAAAAATTAGCCGGGCATGGTGGCGCATGCCTGTAGCCCAGCTACTTGGGAGGCTGAGACAGAAGGATCGCTTGAGCCCAGGAGTCTGAGGTTGCTGTGAGCTAGGCTGACGCCACGGCACTCACTCTAGCCTAGGCAACAAAGTGAGATCTGTCTCAAAAAAAAAAAAAAAAAGATAGTCAATTCATTCATTAACTGATTTTTAAAAAATAATCCCAGCTCATCTCATTAAAAGATGAATTTCCAAAGAAAAAGTTACTTTGAGTGTTTAATAATTATTTATAAAAATAGGTAATGTATTTTATGGTTTGGTTAGTTGTGTAATAACAACTTAATCCAAAAGAAAATTTTCAACATTTAATGGCTTATGGTCAAAGAAAAAAATTTTAATTGTATAATTTTCTTTTCTTTTCTTTTTTTTTTTTTTGAGAAATGGTCTCCCTCTGTTCTCTGGGCTACAGTGCAGTGGTGTTATCATAGCTCACTGCAACCTCCAATACCTGGGCTCAAGCGATCCTCCCACCTTAGACTCCTGAGTAGCTCAGACTACAGATGCACCATCATGCCTGGCTAATTTTTAAATTTTTTGTAGAAACAGGGTTTCACTATGTTGCTCAGGCTAGTCTCGAATTCCTGGTCTCAAGTGATCCTCCTGCCTCAGCCCCACAAAATGATGGGATTACAGACATGAACCACCACAACTGGCCTATAATTTTAATTAATGGATATATTTGGTTGCAGGAAATTATGAAAGTGTGATCAGTGAAAGACTTTCTAGCATATATATAGTATATATTTATACACATAATACACAGACACACATATGCATGCATGTGTACATATATCCCCACATACATCACCATATAATATTAGGATAAAATTGTATTGAGTCAAGTGGAAAATAATTTATAGAAAAAAGAGAGATGTAAAATTCCAGACTCTTAAAGAACAATGGATTTCATGTGTTTTTACCATGGATGATGGCTTAGATTGGCTAATTGATTAGCAATTTGGCATCAAAATGCTATGCTATTTTGATTTCTTGTATTTAAAAATGATGTAACAATTATTAAAAAGTCAATATTTATAATGTGCTATAAATTAGATCCTTTACAAACATTAACTTATGATGCAATAGTTTAACATGTCAGCTTAAATGTGCAAGGTAGTCCTAGCTACTCGGGGAGGCTGAGGTGGAAGGATCACTTGAGCCCAGGTGTTTGAGACCAGCCTGAACAACATAGGGAGACCTCATCCCTAAAAAAAAAATTTAAAAATTAAAATTAAAACAATGTGCAACCTAGCACTCTGGGGGCTGAGGCAGGAGGATCGCTCAAGGTCAGGAGTTCAGGAGTTCGAAACCAGCCTGAGCAAGAGCAAGACCCATCTCTACTAAAATAGAAAGAAATTAACTGGACAACTAAAAATCGTATATAGAAAAAATTAGCCGGCAGCGAGTGGTGCATGCCATTTGAGGTTGCCATGAGCTTGGCTGATGCTACAGCACCCTAGCCAGGGTAACAGAGCAAGACTCTGTCTCAAAACAAAACAATGTGCAAGAACATAAGCACTTTTCAAAGTTCTTTAGGTACTGCAGGTATTACTAGTCCTCTAGAAATAAGTATGTTTAAAGTAAAGCTACTTGAAACTCTACACAGGGCTTGTTTTCCAAATAAAAAGTATTTATTTGTTTTCCAAATAAAAAGTTTAGAGGAGCAAAATTATAAGCCCTACTTATATGGGTTGTAAACCTATTTTGAAAAGTGAGGCTTGTGAATAGAAATGCAGTGCCCGAGTCACGATCCACTTAAAACTTGTAACAAATACAGATAAGTTAAAAAAAAAAATTCTTTAGGTAGTCCCCCAGTGAAAAATGTTTGAAAACTTGTAAAGCAGGGTTTCTCAATCTTAACACTATTGACATTTGAGGCTGGTAACTTTGTGGTAGGGAGCTGTCCTGAGCATTGTAGAGTATTTAAAAGCATCCCTGGTCTCTACCCACTAGATGCCTGCGGCAGGCAGCCCCTCCTCTCCAGTTATGACAATCACAGATGTCTGCAGACATTGCCAAATGTGCCCTGAAGGCAAAGGCAATGATCACTCCTGGCTAATTGCTATAAAGTCATCTTGGGGTCCATGGATTAGGTGATTAGGAGATTAATGAGAACTTCTTCACACCTGAGTGTAGCTGTTACACACTTCGGGCTTTGTTACCAGACAGCCTGGGATCAAGTCCTGGCTCTCTGGTTTCTTGGTGGTGTGACCTGGAGCAAGTTACTTCTCCCTCTGTGCCTCAGTTTCCTCATCTGCTCAACGAGAATAATGGCAGCACCTACTTTGTGGATTGTCCTGGGGCTGGGCTGGGCTATGTGGAATGCTGTGTGGTGTTGCTCATAGTGAGTAGTGGTGTTAGGTGCTTCCTCTGCTGTAACAAGACGTATGTATTTGATCTTTGTCTCCAGTTCCTGACACAGATCCTAAAACACTCGGAATTTCCTGAGTGATAAGAGTGTCTTTTGTTCTAATCTAATGATTCTTGGCAGGACACTAGACAGCTTCAGGATGGGCGCTGGTCACCAGAAACACCAAGGCTTGATTAGAAGCTTGGAACTTCCAGCCCCACCCCAACCTCCAGGGAGGGGCGAGGGTCTGGAGACTGAGCTAGCTAATCACTAGTGCCTAATGATGTAATCAGCCATGTCGACTCCATTAAACCTCCACAAAAGTCTCTAAACAGTAGGGTTCAGAGAAGCTACTGGATTGGTGCCACATTGAGGTGCTGGGAGCATGGCATGTCTGAAGAGGGCACACGCACCCACCCCCTGCATGCACCCAGCCCCATGCCTTCTATACATCTCTTCCATTGGGCTGTTTCTTTTCTTTACTTTTTCTTTTTTTTTCTTGAGACAGAGTCTCACTCTTGTTGCTTGGGCTAGAGTACCGTGGCGTCAGCCTAGCTCACAGCAACCTCCAACTCCTGGGCTTAAGCAATCCTCCTGCCTCAGCCTCCAAGTACGCTGAACTACAGGCACTGTGCTACCATGCCCGGCTAATTTTTTTTCTATATATTTTTAGTTGGCCATTAATTTCTTTCTTTTTTAGTAGAGATGGGGTCTCACTCTTGCCTCAGGCTGCGTTTCGAACTCCTACCTTGAGCCGATCCTCCCGCCTCGGCCTCCCAGAGTGCTAGGATTACAGGCGTGAGCCACCTACGCCTGGCCCCATTGGGCTGTTTTTGAGTTGTATCTTTAGTAATACACTGGAATCATGCTAAGGTAAAGCGTGTTCCCTGAGTTTTTTTTTAGCTGCCCGAGCAAATTATTGAGCCGAAAGTGGGGGAACCCCTGACTTTGCAGCCAAGTCAGACAGAAGGATAAATATCCCAGGGACCCGACACCTGTGGCTGGCCTCTGAAGCGAGGCTGTCTTGCGGGACCGAATGGTTGAACCTGTGGGGTCTGATGCTAAATCTGGGCATTCAGCGTTAGAGTTGAAACGAATTGGTGTCAGGATTGGTTGTTGTAAAGGAAAACCCAACACTCCTTTCCCGTGCTTTGATTATCTTGGAGGGCTTATTTATGTCCGTGGGCTTCCTGTGGTCTGAGCAGCCCTTGACCACGTCCAAGTCCAACTGGGCGCTTTTGCTAGTAGTTCCTACGTAGTTCGCGTTTCGGTGCGATACTTCAGTGTGTGTACTGTGTAGGGCCGAGAGGCTAGCAGTGCTCTGGAGTTGAGA